GCAATTTATGAGAACAATAAGATGTCTACCCATTTTTCTTTTTAAAAGTAAGTGATAGGATATTATTCAGCCTTAAAAGGGAAGAAAATTCCTACACATGCTACAACATGGATGAATCTTGAGGACATTATGCTAAGTGAAATAAGCCATCACAAAAAAGACAAATGTACGATTCGACTTACACGAGGTAACTAAAGTTGTCACATTCATAGAAACAGGAAGTAGAATTGTGGTTGCCAGAGGCTGTGGGGAAGGGGAAATGGAGAGGTGTTCAATGGGTGTAGGGGACTTCCCTGGCGGTCCAGTGATTAAGACTCCAGGCTTCCACTGCGGGGGCCACAGGTTCGATCCCTGGTCAGGGAACTAAGATCCCACATACTCCATGGCACAATCCAAAAAAAAAGGGGTGTAGAGTTTCAGTTTTGCAAGATGAAGAGTTCTGGAGATTCGTTGTACAACAATGTGAATATACTTAACACCATTGAACTATACACTTAAAATGGTTAAAATGGTAACTTATATATATATATATATATATATATATATACATATATATATATATATATACACTCTTTTTTAGATTCTATCCCCATATAGGTCATTACAGAGTATTGAGTAGAGCTCCCTATGCTATACAGTAGGTTCTTATTAGTTATCTATTTTATATATAGTAGTGTGTATATGTCAATCCCAGTGCTGTAGGCGCGCAGGCTTCAGTAGTTGTGGCTCACGGGCTCTAGAGCGCAGGCTCAGTAGTTGTGGCACACGGGCTTAGTTGCTCCATGGCGCATGGGATCTTCCCAGACCAGGGATCGAACCCGTGTTCCCTGCACTGGGAAGCGGATTCTTAACCACTGCACCACTAAGGAAGTCCCCCAAATGGAAACTTTTATGTTATGTATATTTTACCACAATTAAAAAAAAAACCAGTAAGTGATAGGGATAATAAGCATACAGTAGGTGCTTGACTTCATGCAATAGAATCATAATAAATATTTGTTGAAGGAAGATGGGAAGAAGTGATGCTGACAGGTGACCTCAGACACCAGGGTGAACATGAGAATGGACATCTTCCCTTTCCCAGGACAGCCTTCCAAGTGACCTTCTCCTTGGGGTGATAAATCAGTTATCCTTCCTGTTCTCATCTCAACCCTAAACTTTCCTTTTCTCATCCCTTCTGACAACAGCATGGCTCCAAGTTCAACCTAAGCTGGAACGTCATCCCTGAGAACTGTATCTTCCTGGTCAGTGCTGTCAGTGGCAGCCATGTCTTTGTTGATTCCATGGCTGCAAGTTCTCAGATCACAGAACTTCAAAACTGCAAGGGCTCTGAGCAGCCTCGTGAGATTTAAGAGATTTATGTCCTATCTAATAAAAATATATAAGTACAAAAAACATTTAAAACAGTGGCTTATCAAAAGCTCCAGAACAGGAAGCAGTGAGACAACGCTAACCAGCCCCACCCCCTGGGGAGCAGCAGGCAGAGTGTGGGACAAGTTCCTCCCCTCAGTGCCTTGTGATGGGGTCACTGCCCTGCAAGAGGAAAGGCTCCCCTGTGGTCAGTGTCACTCCAAGGCCCATCGGTCCTAGTTTTTGCCAGGATAACAGGACAGGTTGAGTCTGTTCATAGCAGGACTCTCGGCCCAGAGGTAGGTGTCAGATCCTCCAGGGCAAGCAAGGCAGAGAACCTGAGCCCCAAACTCGCTGGCTGGCTCTGCAACTGCCCGGACAGCTCCTGGAGCCCCTGTGGCTGAGCACTGGCCTTTGAGCAGCCCTGACTCACAACAACTTCGCTGCCTGATTGTCAAGGGTCACACAGAGGGAAAGCCAAAGGACACACAGAATGCTGGACTGCATTGAAACATTTGGTGGCAGTTGCAGGTAGAATTCATCACAAGGGGGTGGAGTTTATTAAGACCCTCCCGCCCCCAGGATTTCTGGGCTTGGAGTGCTTCCTGAACTTCCCCTGAACAACTTTAACCCAGCGGGATGGAGAGGGAAGCTCATTTCTGGGCCAGAGGAGTTGGTAGCAATGAGTGGAAGCCCAAATCTAGGGAAGAGAAGGGGAGATGGGATGTGCAAAGAGTCAGGAGGACCAAACCTGGGGCGCCACACCGCACCCGTCCACAGCCACGTGGACGTTTGAACAACCAGTTTCTCCCAGTTGCTTTGGATGTCTGAGACCACTCCGGACCTCTATTTCTAAGGGCAAGAGCAAAAGGATACCACTGTACCCTCTCCCAAAGCCTTGCAAAGGACACCCTTTCACCTCTGCTCCCAGGTGTGGGATGAGATAAGAGAAGTCAGCATCTTTCCCCCCAAGAGTCAAAGCCATAGGGTTTCTGATCTTGGAGAGCACTTGCTGCATCCTGGGGGTCTGAGTGGCTTCATCCTGGCTTAACGCAGAAGCACAAGGGTCCCCAGGGACTGCTGGCCTTTATCCGAAGGCTGCTTTGTTTGATGGGCTTAATAACTACCTTGCAATTAGACAAAATCTGACCCACCCTGGGCTCGAGCAAGTTTCAGTTTCACCTTCATCATTCATTGTAGGCTCCAAATCTCACGTGGATGGTACCCAAGCACCCACAGGCTGCCCAGGTCATGCTGGGCTGGGTGAGATAGGATGGATGGGAGCAAGAATCACATCCCTCCAGAGACAAATACAGGCAGTGGATCCTTCCCAGGGGCTGGGAGCTGGAGAGTAGATCAGAACACAAGTGTTTTATACTCTACAGATCTCTTGCCTCACCCATTAACATTTCACTGGAGAAAAGCACTAAAGCTAAGATGACCATGGAAAAACCACCCAAACTGGGACCCTTGTGATAGCAAAAGGGGGGGGGGTCATTAATAATTATGCTGGGAAACAACATATAAAGGGCTACGATGTAGATCATCCTTTCCCCAGTGAAAGAACAGATCAAATAGGAGAACTCAGTCATCACCATTTCTCTCCCTCCCTTACATGATTACAAAACAAAAGCATAAACCTCTCCTCATCAGAGCAGGTAGAACTGTCAGTTTCCAATAGGGACACCAAAACTAGCAAGCCATCAAACTAGGTACCCTTTGCCTGCCGGAGGCTATTCCCATGGGCGCAGTCAGCTCTGTCCCTTTTGGTCTGTGCTCAATTCAGAAGAAAATCTGGCTAGTAGTCCTTGTTACAAGGGGACAGCCAGGACCTCAGGGCGGGAACACAGATTTTTCAGTTAATTATTAAGAAGCCACTTCCTGGAGGTGCAGCAATGGGGAGTACTTCCTCATAGGGAGGGAAACGTGTGTGCATATGAGCACAAGCAGGCAATTCCATAATTCCACAATTCAGCCTGCAGGGGGCAACATCTCTCTAGCAATGACCACAGTGCCAGCGATGCGGCAGGAGACACTTTTAATCGGCCAAGGAATAGGGTTTTGTTTCTGTAAAAAATCAGATCCATGTATTTCCAGTAAGTAATTTTCACCCCTACATATTTTCACATAGGGATGTTACTCTTTTTCTATTTACAGTGCTAGGTACAGAGTAAGTTTTTAACAAATAAATACTTATGGATTGATCAGTTGGTTGAAGATAACACAGACTTGCCTGAGGCGTGGAAAGTACAGGGTGAGATAGGAGGAAAGAAATTAGAGATTGGTGGATGTGCGTGAGAAAGCACTTTCCTCTCTGGTTAATAGCTTGCCCAGGCCGGGAAGTGCGTTTGAAAGTTTCGGAAAGATCTCTCTCCAAGAACAAACCATTATTAATTTAATTCTTTAAAAACAGAAAATAAAATAGTAATCTTGGTTTCTAAAGCTTCCTCATTTTAAAGTCCATCCTACATACATGTTAGATCAATGAGTTCCAGGTTTATGCAGGTTTCTACACGTTTAAAGCTTTTACATTTAGACTCATGCCTTTCAGATGCATTGATTCTGAAGCACCTCCACCCCTATTCCCACCTAAGCTCGTAAGAGACTGGCTGAGGCCCTCCAAGTCCACCCACCGCTGAGAAGGGACTGATGAGGTTCATTTCACCAGGCAGTCCTGACCGCAGAGCAGGGCAGCCTGCCTGGTCTTGGCTGGCCCAGCCATAGACACGCCCATGTTTTGAGTCAGTAACATTCCTTTTCCCACAGAACAGGCTGCAGGCCCCTGCCCTGCAGCCATCTGTCCACCTCTCAGACTGGGCTCCATTGTCCAAGCAGCAGACGATCAGCACCTTTAATACTACCCGTGCCCCTGAGCACCCTGACCCCAGGGAGACCCCTTTTCTGGAGAGACCAACAGACTCAGGCAGTTTCGGAGGGAAGGCCTGGAGGGAGAGGAGCCAGACAGACAGTCTGTCCATGGGTGAGGGACACACAGTCCTTAGCACCCTGGAGGGCAGTGTCTCCCACAAAAGCTGCGAACAGATGTTTCAGCTTCGCCTCTGATGACCCTGGGCCAACCAACGGCCCCCCCCACCTTCCAGGGCTCGTGGTCACATTGTTTCACTGGGTAAAGCCTCTGCAGGAGAGGAGGCAGCAAGGTGACCGAAGGAGGGGCAGCTGGGAGGGAGACCTCTGGGGTCCCGCAGCCCAGCAGGGCCACGGCAGCCAGAGGGAGCAGCCTCCCTGCCCGGCAAGGACTCGATAATGCAGGAGCCCGCCGCCGCCTTCCACTCGCTGACTTGCTGCCTGTCCTCTGGGAGAGACCTCAGTTTCGCTGCTGGCCACAGCTCCCTCCCGCCCAGGGCCCTCGGTACACGCACAGGAGGAATGTCGGGGCCACATCTTCCCCGGAGGGCACGGAGGCTGCAGGTGGGCGAGTCACCCTGAGTAGGGCAGGGAGCGGGTGGCCCCACAGCCAGGGCCCGGCCCCAGGAACGGTGTGTCTGGCGAGGGTGGTAGGCCACCGGCCCAGAAGCGGCTGTGCCAGCTCCCTTTCTTCCCTGCCCCGTGGTGTGGTCAAAGAGGGGCCTTGAGCGAGGGACGCCTGTGCATCTCAGAAGCAAAGAGGGTTGGGAAGCCCTGGGAAGCAGGGGTCAAGGTGGGGAGGGCGGCAGAGTCACGAGAGAAGCACAGCGGGTGCGGCAGAAGGTGGTGGGCCCTGCCCAGCCCGCTCCCCGGCCAGAAAAGTCTCTCTGTGCCGCCAGGACCCATCCTCGCTTCACCATGACAACCAGGTGGCACCCAGCTTGGCCTGACCTGACCCAAGGGTAGGGTCTGGGGTGAGGGTGAGGGAGGTGGCGCCCCTGTCCTTTGCGGGTGAGGCCGGCCCCCACGTGGAGCGCTGGCAGAGAGGAGCCGCGGAGACTCAGGCCTCTCCCTCCCCCTCCCTCCTGCCCCCAGTGAGGAAGGACCTGGGCGGCGGGAGGGGCGCCCATCACTTTGCCACCGGGGGAAGCGCAGAGGGGGCTCCAGGCTGGGTCGCCATGATGTGGTAGATGGATTCTCGGAAGCGCTGGTCCCGGCTGAGCCGCTTGGCCACCTCCTTCAGCTCCTCCATGTTGTTAGCTTCCAGCTGGGAGGTCATGAAGGACTGGGACGGCTTCACTGGGGATACGGTGGCCCCACGGGCCGGCCGTGAACAGCCCTCCCTCCACTGGGGCACAGCCCTGTCCCCAGCCCCAGCCCCCCTCCCTCGCACCCCATCCTCCAGCCCCTCCCGGCCCATGGGCTCCCGTGACCCTGGGAGAAGCCCAAGGCTGGGGGAGCCGGGCTCGGGCCACACTCAGGGCTGGGCCAGCCCCTCTCCCTCCCCGCCCTGCCCTCTCCCTGCCTGGTCCCCGACAGCCCGGACCGTCCCACCCGCCAGGTCTCTTGTTGCGGAGCATGGGCTCTAGGCACGCGGGCTCAGTAGTTGTGGCTCCCCGGCGCTCGGGCGCCGGGGCCCGGGGGGGGGGGGGGGACAGCCACACCCACCGTCATTCCAGGAGGTGCTGGACCGGCGCCGGTGGAAGCGGCAGCTCTTGATGCGGCGAGTGGCCGCCTTGTGGATGTACACGGAGTTCTTCATGATGACCGGCATCTTGGCCTCCAGCTCCGCATTCCGGATGCACTCTTCAAAGAACCCTGCGGCCGCAGTTCCACTGCACCCTCCCCTCCTGCCCGCCCCTCCCCTCCCCAGGATCCTGGTGGGGTGGAGAGGGAAATACCTGACCCCCGTCCCTTTGGAGACCTGAGTCACCTGCCAAAGGGGGCAGAACTCAGGCTTTCCCCCCACCCCGGATCCAAGAGCCAAAGGCGGCCACGCCCAGGAGATGCCCATCAACACCCACGGGTCACCTCGTGCACACCAGGCCCCGAGCGGCGCTCCGGCCCCAGGCCGGGCTCAGCAGGGCCTGGACGGCTGGGCGGAGCCCGAGGGCCGGGCCGGCGGCGGGGGCAGGGCTTACTCTTCAGGCGGCTCACGTCGGCCCGCATCCTCTCTTCCTTCTGCTTGTTCCGCACCTTGGAGTTGAGCCCTTGTTCCAGGCTCCGCAAGGCGCCCTCTGCCTCCCGCAGACGCCTCTCCAGCTCCACGCGGACCTTCACCTCAGCCTGAGGGAAGAGGTGCGGAGAGGGAAGTGGGTCCTGGCGGGGCAGCTACCATCCCTTGGAGGCCTTCCCTGATCACCCGTGGCTCAGCGGGCTTTCTCGCCTCCAGACTGGGATGGAAGTTACCGCATCCTGCTTCTTGTCTTACGCCCTCCACCCGATGGCCGGGACTCAGCCCCTGCACGGGACAGGCGTCTCCAGTGATGCCCCGCCGCAGGTCAGGCGCAGGGCTCCCCCTCGTGGTGGCTGCACTGCCTTCACCTGGCTGGTCAGATTGGCAGGGCTCATTCAGGAAGTGGCCCGGTGAGGGCAGGGATGCGAGGGAAGTGTCTCCAGGTGAGGGAAGTAAGCCTCCAGGTGAGGGGAGGGCCCCGAGCACCACGCGCTCCCAGTGGCCCAGCACCTTGAGCTCGCGCTCGGCCTGCTGCTTCTCCGCCGTCAGCTCCTGCAGCGAGTTCTGCAGCGCCTGGGATTGGCTGGAATAGAACTCCCGTTCCTCCTCCAGGGCACGCGAGCGTTCCTCGTTCTCCTTCATCCTGCCCCGGGGAGAGGTGCTCACTCAGGGCCCACTCACCAACGGGGCTTCCAGTGGGAGGGCGGCCCCTCGTAGGGACCTGGCTGGAGAAACCTGAGACCCTGCTTCGTGAGCCCCAGAACTGGCTGGGTCCTGTCTCACAGGTGGTGATGGGGGTGATGTGGTCACTGAGGGGAGTCCTGGGTCCACGTCTCGCTAGTTCTGTGAGCTGTGAGCTCCAACCCCTCCAAGGCTCAGTTTCCTCATCTGTAAAAAGGGGCTGAGAGGACCTGCCCAGCCTGTCACAAAGCTCTGTTAGGCCTAATGACTGTCTCTATGGGTCACACCATTGCAAGAGACAATTATCAAGTCTGCTTAGGAGAGTGAAGGATTGCTTCCCATTTGCCTGGTGGGGAAACTGAGTCCTAGCCAGAAGGAAGTGAGTGACCCATCTGATCGAGGACAGCTAGAACCCAAGAGCCCAGCATCCAGTTCACGGAGAGTTACCTCTGTGGGCTCAGGGGTTAGGGCTCCCTCACCGCGCCTCCGCCAGGAGCTTCTCCTCTAAGAGCTGCTGCATCTTCTCCTCTATCTGCCTCAGGTTGCTATGGAGACCCCCGCTGGGAGGGGGCTGCTCGCTCTGATTGGCCAGTGTCTGCAGCTGCTTCTCATTCTCCTCCAGCATTTCCAGGGTTTTCCTCTTCTCTATGGAGAGTTCCTGGCACGGAGGGAGGTGAAGAAGAGAAAGAGCCCAAGTCAGGTTCTCCGCCATGGCTGCCCTCACCTGGACTTCAATTCCGGTAAGTGAGGCTCTCCTCACTCAGTCCTCTGAGGGACACCTGAACTGTCTTCATTCTTCCCTGAGGTAAAAGGCCAGCGAGGATCTCCTTCCTCCCACTGAGGCAAGGCTACTCCTCCATCGAGGAAGTCAGGGAGGAGCCCAGCTCGTGGCAGTGGACGTGGACGGGGCACCTACTACAATGGGGACCAGAGGCTCAAGGGCATCATGAGCTTCTGGGGCCCTTGTTCCTCCAGGAACAAGTGAGGGAGTGTGCTGGGCTTTGTGTGAAGAACACCCAACAGGAATCAGCCCAAGAGCAGACTTAGACATTCTCCCCACTTATCAGACTGGGATCTTGCGCTACTCAGAAATTCTGGAGTTGAAACTAACCATGAGAACGACCTCCTGTGGTAAGACAGGGAAAGATAAACAAACAAAGGCACCACAAAGCCGCAGTCAGTCAAGGGGGAATAGAAACCTTGCAATCTGCAAGGCAGTTCATGAATCTGGTAACCATCACAGATCTCCCACGACATGCCAGGCTCTCTCGAGGTGCTGGGCTTGGAGAGAACTTAAGATGCAATCTAGTGAAGCTCACTGTTTGGAAAACACAACCTCATGTGTCAAGTGCATTAACAGATGTACAAAGTGCCGTGGGGACCCAGAGCTCAGAGCAAATCCCTCCTTCGAAGAGTCAGGGAACCTTGACTACGGTGATATTTGAGCTGAGCTTTAGAAGGATGAAAGTATTCTCTAGGCAGAGAAGAGGTGAGAGCACGTTCTGGGGAGAAGGAGCAGTGTGGGCAAAGGAGTGGAGGATGGAGGTCACGGCTTCCTCGGGGCACTTGTGTTCAGTGGTTTGAACCAGATGTGGGGATGTCATTGTGCCAGGCGTGGAGGGGCAGCAGAGGGAGAGGGGACAGGAGGGTAGCAGAGGCTGGGGCCAGAGTGTGCACCTGGACGCCCTGCTAAAGAGTTGGCACCTTGTCCTTGACACATGCCCCCTCCTCCTCCTCCCTCGCTGCTTCTGTATCAAGTGGAGGTGATTTGGCAGTGGATTTTCCCTCATGCTCAATTTCACCGGGGAACAGCTAAGTGAATGAGCCGCAAGAAGGAAGTGGCGGGTGGCCGTGCAGCCCACCCTAATCAATCCTCCATCGAGTATAAAAATATAAGCACTGGGGCTTCCCTGGTGGCGCTAGTGGTTGAGAGTCCGCCTGCCGATGCAGGGGACACGGGTTCGTGCCCCGGTCCGGGAAGATCCCACATGC